TTTCGGCGATAGGGAACCTTCTATTTCATGTGTTCGGACCTCCTAAGCATGATAGTGATGTTAGTTTTTTGAGAAAATGCCTGGATTGCAAATCACAAGAACGTCAAGGACTCTTCCTCTGAGCTTCTCTTTTCTCCGGCCTACTTCCTCAACTGTAACTCACTCATTTGCTCTCTAGATCAACTTTGATACCAAAATGGCTTAGAAATTGAATGGGAAACAAACTCTTGTTTATTCTTTTAATTTGAGATGCATTACACATACAATACAGTCCTATTTATAGTACTATGATCCTGAAACTAAAGCAAATGAAGTAAAAGGAAGGTTACAAGAATTAAGGGAAGGTTACAGAGGTTACAAGAGTTTATTGTGCTCCACTATGTGACTTCGATTGCTGTTCTTTTATTTTTCCATTTCACCTACAGAATTCTCATTAAACTACTTAAAGCGAAAAGATGTCTTTCAAACACTTCAGAGTGTCTTTTTGAGTGTCACAATGAGGAAACTATTATTCATTTTCTTCGTGATTGCCCTAGAGCTTAACGAGTATGGAAAGAATTGATTACCTCTAATCATATACCTATGTTTTTCTCTTCTGATTTGCAGGTATGGCTAAGATGGAACTCATTACACAACCCATGGAGATGAAAATTCAGCAAATGGCATTAGTTTAAACCTTTAGTCATATTTGTTGGTTATTTTAGACTCATGAATGCGAACAAGTATTTGAAGGATGTAGTGCGAGGCTAGAAAAGATCATTCATAGTGGTTTACACAAATTGATGGAAGATATTACTCAAAACTAAGTTTCATCATCAAGTCTCCCCAAATCAATTCAAATCGAGGTAGTTTGGAACCTCCCCCTACTGATACAGTTAGAATTCACGTGATAGATCTATTCGTGAGAATAATAAGGCTGCTTGTAGTGGTGTCATCAGAAATGATAAAGGCCAATGGATTAGGGGATTCACATAGAAGCTTGAATCCTTTCCATCAACTATAGCTGAGATTCTTTCTATTAAATGAGGTCCTAGAACTTTGTTGCCAACACCATTTTAAGAAGATTCAATTATACTCTGACTCCATTAATGCTATCAAACTGCTTATCCAGAGAATCCAGTATTGATCATCCATTTAGGATTGAGATTGAAGAGACTAGAGACTTACTCTTTATTGAATGGGATATTGAAAATCTTCATAATCTAAGGGGTGCACTTCATTGTGTTGGTACACTCACCAAAGAGGCTCACGATGGTTCTTATGACTTAGTCTTACTATAAACTATACCTACTAGGTTGTTGTGGGTATATTCAGGAAGACTTGCAACAAGTATTTTGATGTAATGGCTTTTAGAGCTTTTTTGTATATGGCTTTTAGGGCCCTTTTTGTATTTTTCTTGTAACTTGTAGGCTTTTGCTTGCCATCTTATGCAAAATAAAGGCTAATATTTGTACAACTAATAATTGATTTGTTCCATTATTTCTATCTACATGATATATCTTTATTGTGAATCAAACTTATAATTAAACAAAACAATACTATTAATTTGAATGCGTTTTAGCTAAGTTTTGTTAAGCTTAGATGACTAAAATTGTAATAACATGACTAGATTGATTATCATTTTCTTTTTAAAAATATATTGAAGATGTTAAATGATCTCTCATGTAAGTATTGTCTTCAATTATTAAAATTTACGATTTAATAAAACTTTTGAATTTAAATATTTTTTATTTAGTTTAGAGGGTGTAAAATGGGGGATGCAAAGTTATAAAATTTGCACACCTTATTTGTAATTTTTTTAAAAGTGAGGGGATACATTTGTTTGCTATCACCACTAATGGCTTTGCCACTGCTTTTATTGTCTCCTTGTTTAGTGGTGGGCAAATGTTATGATTGCCCACCCTCAAATTTTGAAAAATTAGTTGAATTTAGTCATTGACATGAGTATCTTGCCCCACACACAACCTTCAAATTGCACCTAATACAAAGTTGAGAAGAAGCAAAAGGAAGAAGTTGAAGAGAATTAATTGGACACTATGCTTGAATTAAATTAATGTTGATCAATGTAAAAACAAGACTAGTTATTAGTTTGAAATATATTATTTATGATTCTAGTTGTGATCAACTTCTTGTGTTACCAAACAGAGGAATGCAGGAGAGAGATTGAAAGTGTCACCGGACTTGAAGAAAAGGAGGAGTGCTGTAATTATGGGGGTAAAAGAATAAGTAAAGTCGTTTTTTCCCCAAACATCTCTATTTCTTTTATTTGCCATTCTTCTGGGTACTTGGCGATTCCATATGTTGCTGAAGATTGAAAAAAATATTTATCTTCTTACTTTGATTTAGACTATTCAATCCATTCAATTTTTTATTTATGTTTATCATTAAAAGCATTTATTCTTAGTATGTTTTGAGTTAAATAATTTTTTATATTAATTAATAAAATATACTTTGTTTATATAAAAGATTTAAGTTGGGACGTTAGTAGATTTAAATTTTTTTATGAAAAGCATAGAAAATAAAATCGTTTTAACATAAAATTGAAGAGAAGCAATCTTCGATCAATAAATTTTATGAATAAATTTTTTTCGCATAATAAACAATAAATTAAGATAAATCTAGAAAACTTGCTATCAAAGCTCAAAATTTTAAATCATACACAATTGATTTGGGTGCACATGTATGAGTTAAATAATTTTTTATATTAATTAATAAAATATACTTTGTTTATATAAAAGAATTTAAGTTGGGACGTTAGTAGATTTAAATTTTTTTTGAAAAGCATAGAAAATAAAATCGTTTAACATAAAATTGAAGAGAAGCAATCTTCGATCAATTAAATTTTATGAATAAATTTTTTCGCATAATAAACAATAAATTAAGATAAATCTAGAAAACTTGCTATCAAAGCTCAAAATTTTAAATCATACACAATTGATTTGGGTGCACATGTAATTTTTATGTCTATATATTTAACTTCATTTGACAATAATTAATCACTATTTCTTGCACACACACGCGTGTATGTTGTCCCCATGTCCTTTGTTCGTGGCTGTCCTTGACGTGATCTTTTATTCCAACAAAGAAGATCATTTTGAAGGCTCGATCTTTTTCCTATGTGAAACACTCAAATAAATCATGAAATCAGTAAGGTTGAGTAATTGAATAGTCAGCTCAATCAAGATAAAGAGATCAGCACTAAAATGCATCAAAGGCCACGATAAATAAACATGTCAAAATTCTGTTAATTATAAATATTAGACCGTTGGTATATGAAAACACGATCCCGAGTAGGGGTGTTCATGATGCCCAGTTGCCCGATATGCCTGCCCTAACTCAGTTATTTTTTGTCTAGCCCGGCCCAAAAAAAAAGCCCAAAATGTTCTTACATGTTTGGGCTGGGCAATGTGCGGGCAGGGCCGGGCAGCGGGCAAGTCATGCATCCCTGCCCATTTAGCCTAGCCCGATTTTTTATAATTTTTTTGTTAATTTTTTTATTAATTTCTTGCAACTTTTCTATGATTTCTTGCAATTCTTTTAGCAAGCTTATATATGATTGTTGTTAATTCTCTTCATATTTTGGTTTCCATTTTGCTTTAAATGTTCATGTACGTTCTTGTAATTTTTTATTTAGTTATGATATATTTTTTCTCTTCTATTCATGCAAGTTAGGAATTGGGAAGAAACTTTTTGTAAATTCGAGCCTCCTCTTTGAAATTATTGTTTCTCATATAATACTTCAAGCTTTTGTTATTTTGATTGAATCATGGATAATTTGATATTGTGCCAAGACTTGTGGTAATTTTAGATTTCAAGTTAGATGTTGAATTATAGATAATTGAATATTGTGGCTATTATTGTGGATTTATGGTTTATATGGATGCTATTTTGAGTTGATATATAGGGTTATTATTGTTGATTTGTGATAGTTTTATTTTGAAATGATGAGAAGAATTATTATTTTATGAGTAGAGCAATTATTTGATGGGCTGGACGGCTCAAAGTTGCCCAACTAGCTCTGCCCTGCCCAAACTAATAATGCATTTTTGTGGGCAGGGCTGGGCATCAGGCAAGGTCTTGTCCAGCCCAGCCCTACTTATGTGCACCCCTAATTCTGAGTAATTTTGAAATCCACAAACATTGTGTTCAAGTATCTTGGTGAGACAAGATGATTACCAAAAATAAAAAACACAGAATAAGATTGTGTCATGAGTTTTGCAAATCCCTAATTTTTTGACAAAACGTCCTAGGTTTTAAGGGAGAAGTTACCACCACTTTGACACTATAAATAGAAAATGAAAACACAAAAGAAATACAATCAACACTTAATCAAAAACTTGCATTCTACATTTTTAGCCTTTAGTTTTATTAATTAGTTTTTAGACTTGTAACTTTTCACATTTCAATAAAAATCAAAACACTTGTTCTATTAAGTTTTGTAAATCTTTTACATTCGAGTGAATTGTGATAATGGAGCTTAGAATTCTTTTATTATCAATTGAGACTCAGCGTCTGTAGCACACATGGTATTTGTTGTTCACACTATCAACAATATCTTATCACAAAAATGATTATATATAGTTTTTTAAATTTTTTATTAGTCACTAAAACTCTAAATTTGTAAGTATTTAATTTGATACTTGCAACTTATTTTTAAAAAATTATCAAAATTTAACTGCCACTAATTTTCTCGCTTACAATTTAATTTATGTCACTCTCCTGTAAAAAAAAAAAATAATTTCCTCATTTACAGTTTAACGTCACTCTCCCAGAAAAATATGATAGGGAAAGACACATAAATATTCCGATATTCATCGCCTTGTGATTGTGACGAATTTTGCCTATTCCAAGCAGGCCACTAGGGCGAAACAAAGAAAAAGCCCCAGAACAACACGGATTTAAAGCGCGTCGATCGTACCTTCCTTGATCCAAGTTCCTGACTTGGCGATTCAGGCCAATTTCAGTGCAATTTAGCAAACACTGCATTGGTTGCGAGTGGGGCAATAGATTAGGTCAAATACGAAACAACGAGGGTATTTTCGAAAACGGCATCCTCGTGCTGCCATATAAAAGCCTTCGAATTCTGCTTATTTCCTTTATCGCTCAGTCTCTAGTGCGGCTGAGGGTACTCGCTTGGCATTCTCCACTTCGTTGAAGGTAAAATCTTGATCTGCGTCTCGCTTGTTTTCTTATGTTACTAAGCCGATTAGAATGTCACTTGTGTTTATCTGGATGGTGGATGATGATGTTTCCTGGGTTTTTGTGCGTTCTTTATGCTTTGATGGATTTGCTTGACGGCTGCTGGTTGATGTGAGTTATTCTGTCTGTGTCGAGTGCATTTGATTTTTGTAACTGATTCGAGGATAAGTTTCCAGATTGTGGGTTTTATGCTTTTACTCTCATGTTTGCATGCATAGATCTGATATTGTAATATCTAAATCCTAGCATGCCTTTGCCAAAGGTGTGAGTCTTTGTTATCTTCACTAGGTAATTCCGGATCTGTGATGTTGTGAGGAAATTTACCGAGTGTGGCTTGGGAGTTTATGGTCATGTAGCAGCCAATAGATGTGTGATATATTGAACATGCTTGAGCTCTTGCTTACATATATCTGATTTGTGGTCCCCTGTTCATTGATATTTGATCTTCTGGCTGAGATGACTTTTATTCTTAGTCGTGGTATGCATATGAAAGTTTTGACTTAATCTTTTTGCATTCTCCTTAATGTGGAGTAATTTATTCTTCTTTTTGTTTCGTGATAAGATAAATCAACATCAAGACTGAAATAAGGACTTTAATACTTTTTTGGAATGTTTGGTGTGGCATTTTTATTTGACTAATTTTCTTCAACATATCTAATATGTGAACGCACTTTAGTTGATGGATTGAAAATTTTTTAGCCATTTCAATGGTGATTGTTGTCGCTATTGGAGAGATAAATGTTGAGTTTGATCATTTCAAATTTATGAATAATGACGATGATATGTACTGTTAAATGTCAAACCGCATTGATGGATTCTTCCAAGTTATTCTCCAATGAACGAATGTTTTGTTTGTGATATTGAGAATTATAATCTGATTATCTTTGTTTACAGTATCTCCTGTTAAGGCATCATGGGTAAAGAGAAGACTCACATCAACATTGTGGTTATTGGTCATGTCGACTCTGGGAAGTCAACTACTACTGGCCACTTGATCTACAAGCTTGGAGGAATTGACAAGCGTGTTATTGAGAGATTTGAGAAAGAAGCTGCTGAGATGAACAAGAGATCATTCAAATATGCCTGGGTGCTTGACAAGCTTAAGGCTGAGCGTGAAAGAGGAATTACCATTGATATTGCATTGTGGAAGTTTGAGACCACCAAATACTACTGCACAGTCATTGATGCTCCTGGACATCGTGATTTCATCAAGAACATGATTACAGGAACTTCCCAGGCTGACTGTGCCGTCCTGATCATTGATTCCACTACTGGTGGTTTTGAAGCAGGTATTTCAAAGGATGGACAGACTCGTGAGCATGCTCTGCTTGCTTTCACTCTTGGGGTCAAGCAAATGATCTGCTGCTGCAATAAGGTATGAGTGTAGTTTTTCTTTGAGCTACACTGCTTTGGTCACATCTGATTATTGCATTTGTGTTTCAGCAGAATTTATGTTGCCTTTTCGTGTCTTTGTAACAGATGGATGCCACTACCCCTAAGTACTCAAAGGCCAGATATGATGAAATTGTGAAGGAAGTCTCTTCCTACTTGAAGAAGGTTGGTTACAACCCAGATAAAATTCCCTTCGTCCCTATCTCAGGATTCGAGGGTGACAACATGATTGAGAGGTCCACCAACCTTGACTGGTACAAGGGTCCAACCCTCCTTGAGGCTCTTGATCAGATCCAAGAGCCCAAGAGGCCCTCAGACAAGCCTCTCAGGCTTCCCTTGCAGGATGTCTATAAGATTGGTGGTATTGGTACTGTGCCAGTTGGACGAGTGGAGACTGGTGTTCTGAAGCCTGGTATGGTGGTGACTTTTGGTCCCTCGGGACTGACAACTGAAGTTAAGTCTGTTGAGATGCACCATGAGGCTCTCCAGGAGGCTCTTCCAGGTGACAACGTGGGATTTAATGTGAAGAACGTTGCAGTCAAGGATCTGAAGCGTGGTTTTGTTGCCTCTAACTCTAAAGATGACCCTGCAAAGGAGGCTGCCAACTTCACATCTCAAGTTATCATCATGAACCATCCTGGTCAGATTGGAAATGGCTATGCCCCTGTGCTTGACTGCCACACATCCCACATTGCTGTTAAATTCGCCGAGCTTTTGACCAAGATTGACAGGCGATCTGGTAAAGAGCTTGAGAAGGAGCCCAAATTTTTGAAGAATGGTGATGCAGGTATGGTTAAGATGATTCCCACCAAGCCCATGGTGGTTGAAACTTTCTCTGAGTATCCCCCACTTGGACGTTTTGCTGTGAGGGACATGCGTCAAACTGTTGCTGTGGGAGTCATCAAGAACGTGGAGAAGAAGGACGCAACTGGAGCCAAGGTCACTAAGGCAGCCCAGAAGAAGGGAGGCAAGTGATTTCTGCAACTACATGGTATCAAGGTTGCAGAAATCAGTGGTTTATTGTTAGTTTCGTCATTGAAGAGTCGGATGCTTTTGTTATAGTTTTGAGTATCTGTCGTTGTCTTGCAGCCTTAACATGCAAGTCTGGGTTCTTGATGGCGGCAAAGAGTTTTCGTTTCAGTCTGCCGAGTCATGTTTTGTTTTAATGTCAGTCTTATGCGAACTCCATTTTCAAAAGCAGCCTGAGGGTTTTAGGTTTGCTCTTTCGCTGCTTAGGGATGCTTTAATTTTACTTATAATTTATATTTTTTTTTTAGTTTTTCATTTTCAAGCCCAATCTTATTTTCTTTCCCTCGAATTTTTCACTGCACAAATTTAGATCTTGCTAATATGTGGTTACCTTATTGGTGGCGGTGAATGACACGTTTGAGATAATGAAACGGTGATTTGACGGGACTTGGCGCTGCTGATCTCGCTTCCAAGTTGAGAAACAGGGCCCTTACCCGAGCCAAGAAGTAAGAGTCCCTTTATTGTGAGGTGAAAGAAGAAATCAATATCAGTATCATAGTTCAATATCTCTCTCATTGTCATCTCCATATGATAAAACTGATCAAAACTACCGTTTATCGACGATACTTCTAATTCTATTTATAAATTATTTTTATTAATATCAATATAATAAAAATATAAAAAATAAAATTTAATAAAATTACAACATTAGTTTTAAATAGAAAATAAATTATATGATATTATTTTTGTCTTTTTTTTTATTTTTTAAAGATAATTTAGACATTTTTTTTAAATAAGACATATTATTAATAATTTGAGGAAATTAGTTCAATGACCTCAAAAAATATAGCTTTCATAAATTATGGATAAAATTTTTAAGTATTTTGGAATATAGCTCATTTGTAAAATTAATTAAATATATTTTACTTTTTTATCCTTCATATTAAATTTATTATTAAATATAATATATTTATTGTAATTTATTTTTAACAGATTGAATCTTTACCTTTTTTCTCTGAATCATTTTTTTTTTCATCGCACAACTTTTTCTCTATCTCTCTCTCTCTTTATTTTGTTCAAGAATAAAGAGGACATTAGATATTGAAGAAAAATTTTTATTTCTTAAAGCAGAAAATTAAGCTTGAATCTATTATTTGTTATCAAATGTTCACCATCTTCACTCTCAGTAACATCAAAATTTTTGCAAACTCTGTTTAATTCATTTTGAACAAATAATTATGTATTTTTTATATTATTAATCTGTGATATTATATCATTGAGGATTGACAAGTTTATGTCTGATTATCTAATTATGTTGATCTATGATAGTATATCAGTGATATACAATAGTAGATCAACGATGTAGTATTGTGAATTAGTAATATGAAAAAACACAATCATTTCTCCAAAACAAATCAAATAGAATACACAAATATTTTTGCACTCTTAGTTTATCATAGAAAGTTAAATATCTAAACTAAAAAAATAAACAATATGAATTTGTAGCTCCATTTCCCTGTCGATGTGCTTTGTTTCGTCGATATATCTCACCTTGCGTTTGTCTCTCGCGGTTGTGATTATGATTCTCTCACATTGCTCTGCTGTCTTGCATTCATTTCTCTCACCTCCAGTTCCATCTTCTCTCTCACATTCATCTCTCTCATTCTAGAGATTTTTTACGTTTTGAATCTTCTGATATTTACAAAAAGTAAATATTAAAAGGACAATTTTATAAATTAATTATAAACTAAATATTAAAAAGGTCATTTTTTAAATTTAAGAAAGGATAGGTTATTTCTTTTACTTGCTTTTATGAAATAATTATATGTGCAAATGTCCCTATTAATTCAATAATTTATAAATTAGATTACTTCACTATTTTAAAAAATAATTAATAAAGTGAACCGGTATTTTTATGCCTTCTATTTTCAAGTGACCTCAGATGGTCAAAAGTACTGTTCATCACTGTCAAACAATACTCTTTTTGCCTTTTATTTTTAGGTCACCTCCAAACAGTCGTTAGTAATATATTCTTTGCCTTTTTAACATTTTGAGATAGTTGCATTGCAGGCTGTGAAGCTAGGCTACAAATTGACCGGTCATGGAAGCTTGACCAAGTGATTTTTTTTTTAAAATTCCTTTTTTAAATTGTTTTATTATAAGTATATTTGAGCTTATAAGGTATTAAGCTTTGTCCAATTAATAGTAAAAGTCTTATTTTTCATGTTCATGTAATTCTTTATTTCTTTTAATAATTTTTATATTGACTTTAATTTACATATATTAATAGACTATTTACTAATAAATTTCTAAATTAAATATTTTCAATAAATTTATTATTTATTATTTGTTCATAAAAAATAATTACTTAGTAATACATTTTTTTAATAATGTTAATATTTGAAGAACATGACTAAATCTTTATATTTACTTACCTCTAAATTTGGTTTGGTTATACTTGAATTTTAGAATTTAAACTAGACATTTTTTATAAGAAAAATGTATATACTTACACTAATCTTAATAGGAATTCAAGTTTTAATTTGTCATATTATGACAGACCAGTCTTTTTTATTAGGTTTAACGCTCATTATTTAAAAAAAAAATTAAATAAACAAAGCGAAACAATTGCAGACAAAAGTCCAATGGGCTTTCCTCTTAAGCTCAGAACTTGAAAAATATAGAAGGCCAGAAAGATTACAATCAAAATTGACCCAAACATAAAAGACAAACATAAACATCAAAACTAATTATTGTGCTTTTATTCCCTCCGATTTTTTTATATAAAATGTCTTCAAAAAAATTATTTTATTTTTAAATATAAGGAATATTATATTTTTTTGAGTAATTAAATAATTCTGTCATTATCTTGAAAAAGGAAATATTAACTGTGTGTTCTATACATTACTATCATGATATTAATTATGACATTATTAAGAAAAAACTAGAAAGTCATGGTAATTTTATGTAATTTCAAAATAAATAATAAAATTTTATTTGTATTGGTATGTGAGATTAATTAAAAATATTTTATATATAAAAATAAAAGAAACATATAATTTCAATAAAATAATAAATTTTTATTGTTATTTTGCTAGAAACATCTTTTATATATAACGACGGAAAGAATATTTGTCTGAGAAAAAGACCCAACCCACCATTAAATGGAAGAAACTCATCATATAAAGCGCAATAAATGACACTTTTTTTGTCATCTTCCGTTTTTTTCCCCTGGTAAAACTCTTCAAGGATGCGTAATTGGATAAAAGTTATAAAGTTGTGTTTGCAAAGAAGAATTTTACAATGTGCACGTCATTTTTTCCCATTTCAAACACAAGTGAACGCAGCAATTTTTAGTGAATTATTTATTTTTTAAAAAGTAGATAAGAAAAATACAGTTAAATAAATCAGTCAATAAAAATGAGTAGTTATTAGAAGTTATTGTTGTTGACTCGAGAAAAACGAGAGCAGCCGCAGCATGTGAATTGTGAAGTCCCTGAAATTATGGCTATAAGACGCAGCCCAACAATCCAACTAAAAGTTCATGTTTATTAAGAGTAAAATAAAAATAGGTTAGGTTAAATTAAACTTTAATTAAATAAATTTAAGCTTGTATAATAAATCAAAAGCTTAAAATTGACCTAAAGCTTGTATATAGTTTTTTTCAGGGCTCAAGTTTAAACTTACTTCAAACCTGGTTTGACCTAAAAACCTATTTAAAAATTACTTACTTAAAAGTAATTCTTTTAAATAAATTTTCATTTTAGTTTTAAATGTTTGAAATATACTTTAGGATTATTATAATATACAATACATAACCTGTATCAATTACAATATGTAATAATTAAAAGGACTTACCAACTACAATACAATATAACAATAAAGTAATAACATTAAAATTAATATATAAATTCCAATATGATTGAAAATATAACTAAAAATACAAAAGGAATAAATTGGTTAAAAATCAAATGGTGAAATTAATGTGTTAGTAATATGTTACATAATATGTGTGTGTGTGTAAATAAGTCAACTTATTGACTCATAAGTTAAGATAAGCTTGACGTAGGCTAGACTGTAGGCCCATATTAGGGGCCTAGCCTATTCCCTTCCTTAATTGAGACCATGAATCTCCTACTAAACTATTTGTAATATGCTCTCTCCTTATCATAATATAAGATATCTTTTATACACCTCATCTGATCCAAAATATAGCACATTAGATAACATTTATATTTGTTTTTTCAATTATGCCCTTACTTTATTTATTATTCTTTATTTTAAAAAATCATGCATTGAAATTTTAATTATTATTATAAAGACTTTTGTATAAAATAAATGAAAAGATGTTGACATTTTTAAGAATTTAAAATTTCAACTAATATTATTCATAAATCATAAATTAGTTAACTATAACTTATGGTTCGAAAGGAATATGTAACACCTTACCAAAAAAAATAGATTATTGCACTCAAGAACCTTGACATCTCATTAATATCCACATAAGTCCCCATTCATCAATGTGGGCTTGGGTTTGGAGTGAAGCTTGATCCATCTAGAATAGACTTGTTGAACCTAATAAAGAGCAAATTGAGATCATTAATTAAGCTAACGGAGCCTTCAACCAGCAGAATTATATGCTAGTTGGTAACTATGTACATTTTCTTGGCTTCTTCAACATCTAAGGTAGAAAAGCGTGCAATCAATACACACACATATAATGGGGCAGGGTTGATGAAAATCATACAATTTGAGAATAAATTCATGGCTGCTCTTCAATTGAATCCATCCAAACACAGCTTGCCACAGCTGCAGGGTCCATAAAGAACAAAGCCATAGACTCTTGTGTCACATAAAAACAGAGTCAAACTATAGAGGTCTTTTGTTCAAAGCTCATACCAATCCAAAGGACTTCCAAGTTGACATTAAAGGTGGAATCCTACCGAGTTCAAAGCGGTTGATCACAAACAAAGCTTAGTATTTCAACTTTCAAAAAGTTGTTTTCATTGCGTGGAAGACTCGATCCTTTGAATAAATAGCGGAAAGCAATCCCAGAGCGTGAAACAACCGTTCATGCCCTCTAGAAATCCCACGTTACCTTTATATTCCAAGAAACATCTCATGAACCAAACACAAACATTCCTTTTTCCTTTCATGACCTAGTCAATTTTTCGATCTCTGTATTCTACCATCTACTCTGCAGTCTCCTTCACGCTCTCTCTTCAACTTCTCGATCTTTCAAGTCAAGCTTTCAGTCACGTCACCTCCCTAACTGTATATAACCAACCCTCAATGTTGCTCCATAATTCACAA